CCCCAAAACCCCAAAACCCCTCAATGAAAATTAAATTTTTTAGAATTTATTTTTAAAAATGAAAAAAACTAAGGCTATAAATATATTACTGACACTGTTGATATTGGCATCAAATACATTTATTTAGGCAAACTAATCAAATTAACTTTAAGGAAATTAGGAATACTTTGGTACAGACAGCATAAACTTGTAAGTGAGGAATCTTAGAAGTTTTGATTCAACTTTTAAATGTGGAGAATGTTTATATAATGGCTATAAATCATGCATTGGAAAGAATAGTTAAGATCATTCAATAGTCGCATCTTATACTAAAACTGATAATACTTACAATACTTGTTGCTAACAAACAGACGCTTGCAAAGATGCTTCTACAGGTTGGTCTTGCACTGAATTCTACAATAATACTCTCTATGCAAAATACGTATGTCCATTCAACAGTGTAACCTGCGGGAGTACAGATACTTATAATCTGACTGAGGTTGGCAAAACAGTTAATCTATCAATGGGATTAACTAGAGGAGATGTTTGCTTCTATAAAATAAAAACTAAATGCGGGCTTCCAAAGGTAGATCTTACCAGAGTTGATAACTCTGACAATATCTTGATCGAATATATTGAATATGAAAGTGGGACTCTGTTTTAGGGTACAAGCTATGTCCATGGAAAGCATGGATCTGCTCCTGGTAGTGAAATGCCTTATCGGACTGAGACATTTGTATACGACTCTGATAGAAAAGTTTACTAAGGTAGACTGATAAATGGATAAGGGTTTCATATATGGGGGAGTCGAGATCAGGGAACTTAATCAGGACTTCCATCAGGTTCAGAAAACTGCAAAGATAGGTATACATATTTGATTTTCACGAGTTTGACAGACACAGCAAGTACAGTTAAAGTAGGTATTGAAACAATAACATATAGTTCGGCATCATTATTAAAAATCAGTTTCATAGTTATTTATGGAATCAGTATGATGATTGTATTTTTAAATTTTTGATTTAATTTAGGTAAAGTTTCATAATCTACATCCATAACATTATGGGGTTTTGGGGTTTTGGGGAGATCGGAAGAGCACACGTCT